GCGATTAATGCGTCATCCGCCGCCGCCGTCATCCCGGGGAAGAAAAAAAAATATGGCGGAGCGAGTCAGCGCCGCAGTTGCAGTGTTGCCAACTCAGCGACTTTTCAGACCCCTCCAGCGACTATTTTTTTAAAAAGCGACTAGCGACAAATCTGGCGACATTTTACGGTGTCACTGGCGGCTTTTGGAGACTCTTACGTGAAAGCATGTATCGTTCCTACTCTTGTCCTCCAGCGGCAGCTGCTGCCGTGGGGCGCCTCCCCCATCCCAACCCCGTTCTCCCTCTCCCACAGGAATCCCTCTCAGCGCTGCAGTCAGAGCCGCAGGATTTTAGTGAGGAGTTTACCCTCAGCGTCCAGACTGCAAATGAAGCGCGCATGCCCCGGGATTGACGGCGCAAATTGATCACAATAATTAAAATAGCCTGCGCTTTGTAAAGTGAAAAAAGTCGTAACATGCAACTTTTGTAAAAACAAATGAACATGGCACGGAAGCACCACTGTTATGACGCAGCACCTGAAAAGAAAACACGTTGGAGCCTTCAATGGCAGTGAAGATAGCTGATCAGCAGGATGAGTAACCATGTTTGTTTCATTTTAAAGTGGGGAAACGTAAAGTTAGTTTCTCAGGTAGCTCATCTGATGCTTTCCTTAGCTTGTTAGTAGGTTACAGACAGTGATAAGGTTGGCTTCTTATTTTACTTTTAATTTCATTTGAATAAGCTTAAGCAGCGTTTATATTTTCTTTATAAATAAATTAATTTGCAAATTATGAGGGCAAGGCTTTTAAAGTTTCAATCTTCTGGCAAAGATAAAGTAAAGAAGATCCTGCAATTTATGGAAGTAAAGCAGAATAAAATCCAGAAAGATCAGTAATATGTCAATTAATTATATGCCACATTCCCATGTAAATATCTGTCTTTGGAGGATGTGTTTTTTTAGCACCCCTAGTTCTCTCATTTTTATTCCAAATACAATTTATAATTTGAATCACAGGGCTATTTTTATCTCTATGGTTCAGTATTTTCTCAAGTAGCAACTTTAACTGCTATACTTTCCTGTCTTAAAAGGCAGAACTCTTCTAGTCTAAAAAAACCTCATTTGTTGAAATGGGGGGGCCTATTGTTTGAACCCCTTAGGGGCTTTAAAAAACAAAAATGCCTGTCTCTTTTTGCGCTTTATGAAACAAAGTACCCTATATTTTGTGGATGTACAGCTACATTTCTCATGTAAGTTTGCGTAGTTTTAACACAAACATTTATTTTTCATATTGCACCAGTACAGTTAATGAGAAACCTGTACTTGTGTGCTTGTTTGTTCTGTCTAAAATGTTTATTTTGGAATAAAGAGGTTAATATAAAAAAAATATTTTGTGTCCGATTCATCGATTAATCGAAAAAATAATCGGCCGATTCATCGATTTTCAAAATAATCGTTAGTTGCAGCCCTAGTCCCCAGACTTTCAGAGTGGCCTTTTGATGTGGGCAGTCTAAGGCACACCTGTGAACTTATCATGTATATTGATATGGCACACCTGTGAGGTGGGATGGATTATCTAAGCAAAGGAGAAGTTCTCATTTTCACAGATTTAGACTGGTTTGTGAACAACATTTAAGAGAAATGGTGACATTGTATATGTGGATAAAGTTTTAGATCTTTGAGTTCATCTCATAAAAAATGGGAGCAAAACCAAAGGTGTTGCGTTTATATTTTTGCTGAGTGTATTAACCAGGCTAACTGAGAAACTAGGTGGTTTGTTGTGCATAAAATCCAACTTTCCCCTTCAGAGGTTTTGTTCTGTAATAAATCGGTGCTTTGGAGCAGCTGGGGCAGATTTATGGATTGCAGCACCCTGTGAGTCTTCAAATCTCAAAGAGGCTGTAATAGATAGATTTATGAGCAGGGTTTGGTTAGTTTGATGGCGGATGTTTCTCTGAGAGGAAAGGTTCGAAGCTTGTAGGTGAAGCTGAAGCTGGTGGTCATCCCTGGCTTTTTTTTAGATCTGGATGCTTAAAGAAATGTATCCAGTTCTCTTGTTCCTTTTTCACATGTTCTTCTAGTTTCATCTATTTGGTTCAGCATGCCTACCTTTTTTTCTACATAGCTTATCAATGATCTATTGGGCCGTCCATATATTTTTCCTACTATTCCTTGTTTTGTTTGTTTGCACGTTGATATCTTTTCTAAGCTCTGCATTTGCTCTTATGCATTTATATGGCTGTCCTTTGATTTCTTCATTCATCTGTACGTTTCTGGACCTCTCTGTCATATATTTATTCTTCTATTACACTTTTTATTCAATCATTTGTCTTCTGCTAATAAATCCACCTTTCTATCCATTGTTTCTCTTGTCAAATCATACTTTTATCTATTTGTTTTTCTGTCTATCCACCATCCATCTATCTGTATGTAAAGCCTGAAACCTAATGATGGCCTGATTAAACTCCTTCCACCAAATTTTCTCAGTAATCCTTGTCATTGTTATCAGATCTTAAAAAAAGACAAATGTTGCACTTCTTTTATTTTTTTGGTTTGTACTTTTTATTTAAAATAATAAAGTTTTAGCTGTAGCTGACTGAGTCTCAGATTTCTATAAGTATGATGCATCCTGCTGTGAACCATCTGGCCTGCCCTCCTGGATCCTCCTCCTCTGACCTTGTTTGTATCGAGTGGCCACTTCGTTTTTCCATTTGTTTCCTATCCGATTGGAGATGTTAATCTCATGTGACCTATGCTGAGATTGTAACCCAGACAATCTGCGGATTATGGAATATATTTGTTTGGTAGATTAGGCCCTAATGTTCAAATCTCCAACTTTGTTTTATCTTTAAATGCTTTATTTAACCTTTTCAGAAGGTCTAACCAACATTTCTGACTTTGATTTACTGTCCTGAAATGTGATGCAGTAGAATTTCTTACATTTTTATATGTTTATATTTATATTTTTCTTGAGTTTGAGGAACTTTTTTAGGAAATGTGGTCCTATCCGAGGACCCTTTGCTCCTGGGGCCCCACTGCCTCGCAGAGAGACGATTAGGTGGTTATTGCAGCTGCTGCTGCTACTCCTGATTTTTAATGATGTCGCTCTTGAATATTAAAACCATTATGGAAAAGAGAGGGCGAGAAGAGAGGAGAAAAATTGTGGTGTGATTTATTATTCTGCTCTGGGTGAATCCCTTCCTCTCCTCCGTCTTTCATTTCATTACATTCAATCCATCCGTTCTTCTATACTTGTTCTTCTTGCCCCTCCTCTCTCCATCTCCATTTTCTTTCATAATTGTTTTTCATTATCATCTTGTCTTTTTTTTTTCCTGGATTGATTTTGGCAAATGGTCGTTTTATTTATTCTTTTTTTCTCTCTCTCTCTCTCTCTCTCTCTGTGTTTCATCCGTTTCGCCTATTTGTCACCCCAATGACAGAGGATGACTCAGGCTCCGTGGGGTTTTTATTCTGTGTATGTGTGTGTAGGAGGCGCTGTGCTAATAGTCCCTCTCTCCCTGACAGACTAATGAGTAGTTTGGGCTCCCGTCTATCTCACGCTCTCCGTTTCCCTTCCTACCTCTGGCTCTTGGAAATGATGAGCTCACTCGCACCCTCCTTTCAAAGACGGCACCTAATATGACAAAAAAAAAAAAATGTTTTTTTTCAAACTTGTGTCTCCTTTTCTTCTGTTGTCGTGGCTGTCATCGTCTCTGTGATGCACATGCGTCTCTGTCTTCTTTGTAGTAATAAAAAAAGCACGTTTTTGATGTTTGGTAGCAAAACTGCAGCAAGTTAAGACCAATAAAGAGTAGTAGAATACATATCTGTAGGTATTAGTCAACTGTGGCTCCGGAAAATGTAAGCAGAAGCAAAAAGGCTGAACTTAAACAGGCTCTGTAGTTTGCATTGTTTAATTTAAATGGATTATATGCCATTTTTAAACATTTGACATAAATATGATATAATGCAGCTGGAATTCTCCTGACTGATACCTTTGAAGGCATAACCTTTTAATCCTTTCTAAAAATGTTGCCCATATCTAAAAGGATGTAAAAGGATGAAGTTTGATAAGGACAAACAAAATCTGTTTCCAATTAATCAGATTCACTATAACAGATGGATGCTGTGAACTGAAAGCTCTGCCTACTTCATGCTGTCGGTCATAATAAAAACGTATCTAAAAAGAAGTATAAAATTTATTACAATAAGAATATTTGCATGTAATTTCAGTAGGTAAATAAAATCATAGCCAATAGAATGAGAAATATACGGAAGAGGATTAGGGCCACTGAAAAAAAAAAAAAGTTAACTGATTTTAAAATTTTATTTCAGTTTAACATGAGAAAAAAATTTAGAATTCTGACTTTAATCTCAGAATTCTGACTTTTTTCTCAGAATTCTGACAATAAAAAAAGTCAGAATTCTGAGATTAAAGTCAGAATTCTAAATTTTTTTCTCATGTTAAACTGAAATAAAATTTTAAAATCAGTTAACTTTTTTTTTCCCACTGGCCCTAATCTTCTTCCGTAGAAATAAGATCATGTTTTCATTCTTATTTTAAATATAAATCATCTTATTCCATTGCATATTGTCTTACATGTTAAAAACAATGGAAAACAACGTTATTTCAAGAGAAATTGACTTACTTGGATTTAAATGCTTGCAATGCAGACACTTATGTGGTTTATTGATTCTTCAGGAGTTTTAACATGTAAAGGTTGGGATTATTTGGTTTTTATGTCTCTGTTAACCAGGGTATCACTAGTTTTAGGTCCAGCTATTATTTGCTTTACTCCCTTCTTTTTTTTACGTTTTGACAGAGGGAAAGGGTTTAGAAACTGTTCTCCAAATTGTCCCAAATGCTTGATGGCTTTCGCCTTCTCAAGTTATTAGTTTTAACGTAAAAACAAAAACTCACTCAGCTTGAATGCCAAACTTTAGCTTAAAAAGAAAAAAAAAAATAATAAACTGCTGCATTCCTCCTTATTTGTTGACGTCTGGTTTTGCTTTTCCCCACAGAGGAGCTGGAGTATGAGGTGAGGTGGTTCTTCACCCGCTTCCGAGGCGACCAGGTCATGAGTGAGGTGGCCAGCGTTGGCCGTAACGGCGTCATGAAGAAAACCAGCCGCAACTCATCCAGCGATGTTTCAATAGAGCGCAAAAACAGTAACACCTACCAGCTGAACATTTATGGCACTCAAGATACGTAAGTGGGTCGATGCTATGGGGTAAGATAGCTGTCAATGAAATTGTATGCGTAGATGTCCTAATTTGTAAATATAAGTCAATACGTGAACCTAAATGCTTAATCTGTGATGAAAATAGTTTGGAAGTTAAAAAAACAATTTACAAAGTTACAACTTTGCGTGCAGTACTCGTGCAAATCACAAATTTACGAGTACGGATCTGAAAGTGATGGTGTTACACTCCTTACCAGCTGGTGGCGGTAATGCCCCTGAACGTTCTTTTTTTGCCAGCCACCGTTAAACAAGATGACAACCTAAGCTAATGGCCATTTCTCAATTCACTAGAACGCGAGTACGAACTCGTGTCCTCGCCAAGTATGTTCTGGAGAAGAAAATAAAGGAAAGTATGGACTCTGGGAGAAAGGTAGCACGCAGCATAAATCTGAAGCTACTCATGACGTCACCACACGTCTCTAAATAATAATAAATGATTACTTTTTTCATTTAGTGGGAGAATAATAGCTAACACAGTCAGATAAACATCAATTAACATTTTGCCAAATAAAACAAAAGTATTGCCATCAGAGCCAGCGGTCCTTCACAAACAGCTATGCTGAGAGAGGGCTGCTGCAGACGGGCTGCGCTTAGCCCTGTCTGCCATTTGATTCGGAGCTCCGCTGGTTGCCGCGGCCCTCTCAACTTTGGAATTTTTTTTATTACGCATTAAATCGCCGCAGTGCATGCTGGGACAGCTGTCAATCTCAAGAGAGGACAAGTCTGCTCCGATGCATACTCTGTAAATATGGAGGGACGAGAACGACATCCGAGATCTACGGCTGAGGTTGATGATGTTTCACGAGTACATGAGAACGCACAAGTACACATAATGGGAAACGGCCTGGGAGTACTAGTGTTAATGGAAGCTGTCAAACTTTCAAATAACATTACCGCCACCAGCTGGTAAGGAGTGTAACAGCTTCATCAGGAGCTTTAGATTCGTACTCGTAAATTTGCTTCATAAATTTTTGATCTGCGCGTAAATTGGTGCAAAGTTGTAACTTGGCAATTTGTTTTTGTAACTTCCAAACTTGCATTGTCACATGTGATGTATGAGTTAATAACATAGAATCAATACAAATCTGAAATGTATTCATGTTTATTGACTTATATTTACAACTGAAGATGCCTACGCATACATTTTTATCAACAGTTATCATACCCTATGGATTACTAATCCTTTTTTTGGCTTAAATGTTTATTCTTCATCATACCTATAGTCTGAGCTCTGGTGTTGAACTGTTTTTGTGCTTCCCAGTGACGGCGGAGAGTATCAATGCATGGTCACGCCATGGTACAATTCAGCCTCATCAGGACTTTGGACTCAAGCTGGAGAGCTGACTTCTGGGAAGGTCTTCCTCTCCGTCAGGATTGCAGGTGAAGACGCATTTAAATAAATCACTCTTGGTTTTTCTTACATAGGAAGAGAAAGCATTATTTTATCATAAACAAAACCCTGTTTCTCTTTTCGTACAGTTGCAGAATCCTTAAAGTTACCTCTCCTATACGGTGCTGCGGCCTCCCTAGGTAAGATTATCCCTAAATGGCAATGTGTTTTATATACCAGTGTTTTTTTGTATGTTTCTTTATTTTACAAATCCAATGTTTTTTTTAACCATATGCTTATTCTTATAAAAAAAAAAAATCAATTTTAAAATGATGTGATTTTATTACTATGTCACCTTTATTTCTGACCTAAATTTAAAAATAGATTAAAATAAGTTAAAAATGCTTCTTTGGGGGTTTCTAATGACCCAACAAGTTTAAATAATTTATAGATTTACAATAACAAATAAAACAAATAAATGATCTTTTTGAAATCATTTTGGAAATTATGTTTTATGCTTGATATTGCCCATATAAAATATAATAAATCTTTAATGTAATTTTAACAATTTGACTTTTTTAATCATTTGCATTTTTAAGCCCACTTTAAAAAAAAAATATTATGTATTCCTGTTTCCATTTATTTTTTCTGTTTCTGTCCTCCACTGATTTTTATGTATTTTATTTTATTGCTGCATTTCCAAAGTATTTATATTAAGTAAGTATCTTAAACAGCATCCAAATGTACATAATCCATGATTTTCCATCCTTTTTGAAAAATGTTTCTCCTACGTTGGTGCTAAGTCGTACAGTGTAAATAAACTATAATAAAGATTCGGTTGAAGTTGGCCAGATGAAATATTAAGACAGGCTGGGGAAAATATAAATGCAGCCAACAGCGGCTGAAAAATGCAACAGAATCTGGTTTAAAGGGAGTCGAGCTGTGATCATCAAAACTGAAGGCCGATGGAATCTCTTTGGAGCTCGTCTTCATCTTCATAGCACATAACACTTATCTGATACTCTTTTAGCTCTGCTGTTTCTCATTGGATAAATTTTTGCTGAGGTCAAGCTCTAGTTTCAGCTCTTATAATAAAGTAACCTATGATTAAATTTATTTTTTTGTTGTTTTTTTTTAGGTGTGGGGATCTTCTCTCTGCTCTTGGGTCTGATTTGCGCCCAATGCTGCTGTCGCAACACAGCACACACTCCCCGCTCACGCAACAAACTGTTGGACCTGGAGATGGACTGACAAACACTTTCCCCTGCAGCCACACACTGCAGCACCCACAAAAAGCACCACACCCAGAACAAACACACGCCCGTCGACGAGTTGTGGGACACCCACTTGTTTCCCGACGATCGGTGTTGGGAGTGAATCCGTCTTTTGGAAGCAACCGATCACAGTGCTTTTAAAAAAAAGGTGCTCTGGGACTTTTCTGCACTGCAGTGGAGGCGCAGGGGAGGAATAGCCTTTCAGACTTCTGTTTGCTTTTTTTTTTTTAAATGCATTTGTTTTCCCAATAGAATTTCTATCCGTATAAGACACTCTAAGGAAAACGAAGCTTCTGAGATGTCACTGCCCGCTGGGACAAAAGGACCTCGACGCAGATCAGCTGCGTCTCTGTAACCACTAGGAATAACAAATGAAGTGCTCAGGCTGGAAACATTTTCTTTTTTTGATTACTCACTTTTTTCAGATGCCAAGGCTCATTGCAAACCAAACACTTTTTTTTTTAATCTGATGGAAATAGGTTCTTCAGTGCATCGGCGGACACCAAAAATGTCCCACGATGGATATTTTCTTCAGGATTAATTGAACTTGGAATTATCCTTTACTTTTATTTCAAAGCCTGAGCCTTCCTTCTGCCATAAAGGAGTCTGTGGAGTTAAGATATAAAAAATTAAGTGCTTCATCTGAGACATTGCACCATCATCCTAGAGTGTTTCTATTTTAACAAAAGGAAAATAACTAACTCTATTGTCAAGACTTTTTCTTTTCTTTTCTTTTTTTTTTGAAAATTATGAGATTTTAAAGTGAAATTAAAGAGACATTTTTAAGCTTTACAAAAAGATATGCAGTTGGTGTGTTTGTGTGTGCGATATACTGTACACGGTGCCAATATTTGTGGAGTGTGCTTAGTTCAGACTATCGGACCGACACTTGAACAGTCGCCAAAACTGGCGGCAGAAAGCTCTCCTCTTTTATAAGTATTCTGAAATGTATCCAGATGTTATTTTTCCCGGAGTCTTGTTTGTGTTTTGTACAGTGTGTGAGTGCCGTGTGACTAAGGGTTGCATGTAACAGTATGATGGTTTTTTTTCATAAGCAACATAAATCTCCTTTCACATTAAAAGCCTGATACCTTCCAATTTTACAAACTGGCTGCTATATTGCTAGCTAGCTTGAGCATAAATGGATGCTAGATCTGGATGACACAAGAATATCAGCTAGTTTTTTTTTATTACATTTAATAATTTTGCATGTTTATCAGCCTCAAATGTTTGTTTTTAACAGATTTCTACATGTGATTAGCCTGGAGTATCTTAGTACAGACTCAAGAAGCAGGGAACATGGTAACTTTGCTAAGTACAGATCTTAGTGTATGAACTACCCAGTTTTATTATGTGACTATTAAATTGTTTTTGTTTTTTAAATGAACCCCAATTTTTTTTATATTTTGTACTCAGCACATGTAAGACTTCAATTTTTACTTTCCAAGGCCAACGTTTTACATCAGCTAAGCTAGGCTACATCCCGCGTCAAGCTAGGATTTATCCCAATTTAAGTTAGCTTTATTCATTTCTAGCTACATCCTATATACTTCGTCATGCTAGGCTATGCCATGCTTTATGCAAAGCTACATCCTGCTTCATGCTAAGCTATATTCCATTTCAGGATGGGGGTTTTGTCATTTTGAGTTAGCTATCTTAACGTCAGCTAAAGCCGGGCGTACACTGTGCGATTCTTTTTTTTTTCCCTTTTCGGGGCGATTTTCCAGTCGTGTGAGAATTTTTCAATCGGGCCGACTTTCAGCCTGATCGTGCGTTGTGTATTGTACAGGGGGTAACGAGGGCGTATCAGCTTCTCACGACCATCTCCCAATCAGGAATCGCAAAGTCGTCGTGGGCAAATCGCTCAGTGGGCATGCGTTAACAAGGATTCTTCTTTTTCTTGTTCTTCTGAGATGTAAACACAGAAGCATTGCAGGGGTGCAATGAGTGAAATGGAGTTCTGTCTGTAAAATCGACAGACCGTAGTAGCCACTTTTGCTCTGCCATGTCTGTGCAAATCCATCGTCGCCTTTTCTTTTTTGGGGCTTTCAGCATCAAATTGCCAAGGCAGCGCGTTTCACTCTAGCTAGCTTCATATTCCTCTTCTACTCATTTTGCTTCTAGATAGACGAGTCTGAGTAGCGCCATCTGGTGCTGGAGTAGGTAGATCGCATCAGCGAGTCAGACTGAACATGCATCGTGAACTATGGACTCACACTGTACGACAAAACCCTGCTGTTGCGTCGTACAGTGTGAGCTGTAGCTGCGTGCAACAAGTGAAAAAATCGCACAGTGTACGCCCGGCTTAGGAAATGGGTGGATAACCTGCTTCAAGGCAGGAAGCATTTCCTTTCTGGTCAGGACCCATCATTTCAACCTAATCTATTAGAAAAAAAATTATTTTGTTAACTTTAATGTTTTCTTGTTGGAAAGCTATATATATTTGGAAAATTTAACCTCTTTAGTTTCTACTGCTGTGTTCTTCCATGCCAGGCTAGCTTCAACATCAATACACATGTCAAAGATATTTCTTGAGAAAAAGTCTTTCAATAAAAGCATACAACTTGAAATTAGTTTAAGGCCTTTATCAAACTCTGATAAATCAGTCAATGTCATTCAAAAAAGCCTAGAAATGATTCTGAAAGAAACATTTCAGTTCATTACTGCTAATTTCAGAAATATGTCTATTATGTGGTAGTTAAATTATAAAGTTTTGTAGTTGTACAAGTGTTGTATGATAAAATACAGTTTTCTTGGCCAATTAAAGGTCAAAAGAAATTGGCTAACATAATAAAGGAACTAGACTTAGCTATCGACTTCCTAGTGTCAAATATGAAAAGTTACATTAGATCCTGTTTACACTTAAATGATCCATTAAAAACCATACCACCCCCTATTTTTTCATTAACACAGGTAGAAGACAACCTGTTGACTCCAATCTTTATACACATGGCACCAGTACAAATGTTTAAGTCCCCTGCCTAGCTACCATTTGGCAATATGTTCTTTAAAACTCGGTAAATAAACGGAAGAAAGTGAGACGGGGAACTGTTTTTTTTTTTTTCCGATTAGTTGATATTTGGGAGAGTCGGCCGCACAAATACTCTGCACTCTCCCATTGATAGTTCATATCTTGTTCTTTTGTGTGACTTGAACTGATTGGTAACCCATTATGTTCTTTACATGCCCATTAATTTCCACAGATTTTGACCATACCATGCATCAATCAGAGCTCTTGTATACAGAAAGTTGTCCTGTGTACATAATGCAGAGTAGGGTGTTGTCTAACCGTCATGCCAAGTTTCAAAGAACAGTAGAAGCACAGAGAAATATTTTTACCAAAAATAAGAAAAAATGGTTGAAGCAGATCCTTTTAGGCTATGATCTTGGGTGAGGCCGCAAATATAACTTAGTCATTAAAGCGTTCTGTCCATGTGGATCTGGGAATGCAGGAGACCAAAAACGTTCCCAATTGCTTGTTGTGTGCTTCAATGTGTTTGTGCAAAACATGATCTTTTCTGAAAGGAGGATGTCGTACCTCCAACTCTCTCTGCTACCTGCATGCACCACTTTGCCACCATTTTGCTATGTTTCTGTGGCAGAGGCAGCCCCACCAATGGACCAGGCAGGCATACACTACTGCGTCCTCAGTGGAGCTTCTTGGTCTTGTGGCCAGAGCTCTAGCCTCAGAGAAGACACTCAAAAGTTCTTCAGTAGTTTTTAACATTAAGCCTTACAAATTTTGTGCTTACATTCCATAAATATATATAAAATATTAGAGACTAAAAGACATTTAAAACTGAATATTTAGGGGGTTACGCCATTAGTTGTGTGGATGTTCAGTACAAATCCTACTTGACCAAACTCAAGATTCCTGAATTGGTTTAGAAAGACTTCTTTTAATTTTCTAAACACACTTTTGATGGTTACTTGGGTGGTATGAAGTGATCTCTTTCTTTAGAAAAGGTAGAATAAGTGTTTTGCTATGAATCTTTTGAGAGAAGAGAAACTGAGGGGGAAATGCATCCACCAGTTGGCTGCAAGTCAGTTTATACAACAAAACCTGCTGAGAGTCTGTTATCTGTTGTTGTTTTTTAACAGTTGAGTCAACTTGTGTTGATTGGCGTATCATGTTGCCTGGTGTGTGAACACACTCTCTCAGCTCTACAAACAGTAAGTTATGGAGTTTCAGTCAGAACCCACCAGGATCCAGACTAAGTGGGTAGGATTAGTATATTGTTTGGTGTTATGGATTTTTTTTAAAGTGAATTTTAATCCAATATTTAAGAGCAATAATCAGGTTAGAGCTCAGTTACTCTCACTCAGATCTCCAAGATAAGGAGATTAATTTATGAGATTAAAAGCTTTTTTTTTCTGTTTCTGCTGTTGTACATTTTAATTTGTCTTCTTAGACAGCCATTGCAGAGGTATTAATCCTGCCAAAAGACGGTGAGGATATTCAGCCAAAATCTGCCTTTTGTTCGGCTGAGCGGGACCCAGATCAAAACACAGATGGAGAAAAGTTGATTTTGGAATACCAAGCGGAGACTGGATCTTTGCCGTTCTTGACACGCCCTTCTAAAAGTAATAACACTGGAGGAATATTGGACACATTTGTGCTGTCACCTGATTGATGTGATTTTTTTTATTTTTTTTTATTCAGGAAGTCCCTTTAAACATCGACGGCATGTGTGCTTCTTTCTACCATCTTGCTTTTCAGGATAGTTCCTACCATCGTCAGCATGAAGGTGGAAAACGATGCTTTCTGCCTATTTTTTTCTCCTTTAGACCACAATAAGTAGCATTGAAGCACATCCCTGAACATGTCCCTGGAAGACTTCCATAATTTCTGTGTTTTTATAGAAGTTAATATGACAAATCCTGATGATTTTTGAAATAAATAATTTGTGATTTTTACTCTTCCTGGTCCTTTTTATTGACTCCCGTGTTGAAAATTTAACTTAAGTTAAAAATCAAATGTAGATTATATAGAAAGATGCGTAACTTCTATGTCTTTATGTCAGACTATGCTTACTCCAGTTAAGGTCAGTCACAAATGCTCAAGTAATGTACTTTTGATTGACCTGTGCAATATCTAGAGATTTTAAATCAAGATTTTTTTCAGATGATGTAAGGTGAGATGTCTCTGCTGCAATTTAAACTTTCTTTAATGCTATTGTGTTATGTAATGATGTTTGTAAAAAAAAAAAAAAAATGTGCCTTCATGACATTTGGTCACTCTGATTTAGAAGAGTTCGTCAAATAACAAATATTGCGTCTTGTGATTTTGCTTAAAATATCAAGATACAGTTTTTTGGGGAATATGGCCTAGCCCAATATTTACACAATGGCAGGATAATGTGAGAAAATAGTTTGAGGATTGATTTAAAGTTGTCTAAATTTGCTTATTTCCCCATTCCATAAAAGAAAATTGAGAAATCCCAATTAATGAGGAGGCTTTTTGATGTTTGTGTTACAGGACTTTTAGTTAGGCAGAGCCTGACCACCCACACTGACTGACACAAGAAGCCAGTAGAGCCAGATTATAAAGGCTGAACTGTTTAAAATTAGGGCAGATAGTTTTGCCATTCTATCTATCCATTTTTTGTTATGTTTATCCTGGCTGGGGTTGCAAGGGCTGCTGATTCCTATCTCCAGCTGTCAATGGGTGAGGCGGGGTACACCCTGGAAAAGACACCAGTCTATCACATGGCAACACAGAGACAAACAGGACAAACTATCATTCACACACACACTCACACCTAAGGAGAACATGGAGAAGCCAATTAACCTAACAATCACATTTTTGTACTCTGGGAAGAACCTGGAGAGAACGGCACACATCCACAGGGAGAACATGCAAACTCCATGAAGAAAGATCCTGGGCTGGGAGTCAAACCCGGAACCTTCTTGCTGCAAGGCATTACTCCATTGTGCAGCTGAAAAATTTTGCCAGTGATCAAAATTCCAATTTACTAAAGATGTGATGCAGCAGCTTTGACAGAAGCCAGTGGGTGAAACCTTAGTGTATAAACAGCTCATTTGGGACTTGATAAAGAACATTAAAACATCACTTTGTTGCAGCTGCAATCTCTGCTGTAATGGTTACAGAAAAATGCTGCTGCTTGGTAGGCCTGTATGCGTGGGTTTGATTGGTTTGGTCTGTTTTTGACCAGTGTAATGAGCCTTACCTGAGTGACTTTAATGCTGTCTGTATGGCTGGCTAAGCTAAATTGGTGGCACAGCTGTTGATGAACTTGAAGGTAACACCTCAAAAATGCTGGTTCCTAGTGTGACATCATGGAACAAAAAAAATAAAAAATTAAAGCCACAATACAATGTTCTAGAAAGGGACTTGCTGACCTCCACAACTCTTCATCAGCCCTG